GACCGCCGCCGCCGGGCCCGGGGCTGGGCGCACCACCGCCGGCGGTGGCGCAGGCCTGATCGGGGGCGCCGTGGAAGGAGGAAGCGAGAAGAGGGTGATGGGAGAGGAGGCTGTGGGAACAAAAGAAACACAAAAAACACAAAAAACACAAACAGCACAAAAAACGCAAGCACAAACAAAAACACAAACACAACACAAACACACAACAAGCACCAACAAAAGCACAAGGAGGAAGCGAGAAGAGGGTGATGGGAGAGGAGGGCGGAGAGACAGGGGAGGCAGGAGGCGGCGCACACCGGGCCCCTGCCGAGCTCGGCGAACTCTTAAATGCAACCGCTTCGCTCCCTCCGCCGGCCCCAGGTTGCCTCGCCGCTTGGGGGCCGTGCTGGGGCCTCTTATGGGCCTCTGGGAGGCAGTCTGGAGGCCCCGGGGCCGTGCTCCTGGGGCCCTTTGGGGGCTTCTTGGGGTGTCTCCTGGGGGCCCCTCGGGGCCTCCTGGGGGCCTCTTGGGGCCTCCTGGGGGTCTCAAGGGGCTGAAGGCTGGACTTTTCGGTTCCTGGTCTCCGTCTTGGGCCTCTCTTGGGGCCGTTTTGGGGTCCTCTTGGTCCATCTTGGGCGCCTGTTGGGTTGTCTTGGGGCCATCTTGTGCTGTCTTGGGGCCCTCTTGGAGGCTTCTTGGGCCATCTTGGGGCGGTCTTGGGGGCCTCTTGGGCCGTCTTGGAGCGTTGGAACGCCAAAAAGACGGGAAACGTCGTAATGCGAAAAATGTATGTTTTCCGATCGGGAATGGGGCGATTCTTGCTTGTTCGGGCCCTCTTGGAGAGCCTCTTGAGGCTTTCTTGGGGCTTTTTCGCGGCCTCTCATCTGGAGACCATCTTGACTTTAAACGGAGAAGGTTAAAGGCGAGGTATAAATCGAGCATGTACCGCTGCCGTGCCTGGCTCAAGCCGGGCCCGGCCAAATATATGACTGTGCCTCACCGAGGCGCACGACTGGTATCTGAGATCGGAAAATACCTTTTCCATTGAAGATGCCTCTTCTATCCTTTACTCCAGATCCCATGCTTCGTCTCGCTCTCTTGCTCATGCGATATGAGCCAAAGCCTGGGATATGGCAACGCTTGAAGCGTAACACATACCTAAGCTTACCAGCATGTTTTCGACTTGGTAGCGGAGCTGGCTACACTCTCGTGTGGCTGGCTCTCGCTCTGATTCCTGTAATCCACGGCACAACTTGGTGGACTACTACTACGGTGGAATACCATGTTGCGCCGGCTCTGCGAGGAGCGGAGCCAGTCCGCGATCGAGCTAGCGGGGCAACCCGCGAACTCGAGACGCTCTCTCCTACTTCACTGCGCTACTTCACTCTCGACTTCCACCAGATGCCAATCGGCAACTCGATCGAGAACGTGGTCACCCTGCGGGGCTACCCGCAGCGGGGCCACCTGCATCCCGTGCCAGTCAGGCGCCTCACGGCTACTACGCCAGAGCCTGACAAACCACAGCCTAAACCAATCACCGAAGCCGAAATGCACATGCACTGGATTAAGATAACTATCTTCGGCATTCTGTGGGTAATAATGGGATGTGCTGTGGGATACATGCGGCAGGGGATGGACGACACGCGTACTACTGGCCCTTCATGGGACCCTGCCGGTACTACGCCTTTTCGCGAATACGTTCGCGAAGTACATGCATGGATAAACGTAACGAGCGGCAATATGACGCCACCACAACAAGCTGCAGCACTACAACGAGGCCTTCAAGGTCTTGCTCGTCGTATCGCCATGCAGGTCCCCTCCCAGATCATCAACTATGGTGTAACTGTCAATGGACAGCCAACGGATGCAGTCACATATATACTGTACCTACTGAGCACCAAATTTGAAAATCTGGAAGATGAGCGCCAGCTCAACTCTGGCACTGCCCTTATCGACTTTCGCGTCGAAAGGGGCGAGCGAATCGACTCAGTGTTAGCTCGATTCGAGATGGCCCGTGACGAGGCTAACTCTGTTGGCTTTGTCATCCCCAACTTTCAGATCCTAACGCTGATTCTTTTCAGAGCGTTAGGCGTTGGCGCGTCACGAGCCCAACACCTGCTGGAGCCTTTTAATCATCAGATGCCCAGAACACAAGCAGACTATGACAGGCTGCTGACCAGGATGAGGAACTACGGACATGTTGCCGAGCGCTCTCCTGGCAACATTGCGGGTATCTTCACAGGGCACCACTCACATGCAGGTGTCTACGCCACGACTGCGGGGTCACCCGCTGGTCCTGGCGAGCCAAGTCCCTGGGCTGACCCAGCCGATATGCCCAACGAGGCCACTGCCTTCTTAGGGCAGACCGGCCAGGCATCGGCAGAGGCAGCTGAGGCGAACGCCTGGTCGAACTACTCGCCAGGCGCCGCCTACACTGCAAGCCCGCCCTCGGGCACAACCCTCTGGGGCCAAGCGGAGTCATCCGCTCAAGGGTCTCAGCCACCCTCACCGTTTGAATCTGGCACTGACACAGACACCTCATCTGACGATGAGCACAATGGCATAGTCTCTGCTGGTAATGACTATCCAGCGGATGACACTCACCTTTCTGAACAACAAAGAGCGGAAGCCGCTTTTATGGCTTATCGCAAATCAAAACGCCGTTGGAGGCGCTTTATGAAGAAACCAGTCAGAAAAGTGAGACGTGCAGTACGCCGACATTTCAAACGATATGGAAAGGGTCGTGGCAAAGGGGGTCGCAGACGCCGTATGCATGGTAGGGGTATTACTGCTTTCCTCACGTCCTTAACTGATATAGTCTTTGAGGAAGTTCTTATCGGAGGCAAAGGTCGGGGTCACAGGCGGACCTCCGGTAAGGGAAAAGGGCGGAGGGGCAACCCTAGGGACGCTTCTGGCAATACTATGAAGTGTCATACATGCGGCAGCACAGAGCACTTGCGCGATCAATGCCCGAAAGGGAAAGGAAAGGGATCCGTACATTTGGCTCAAAATTCTTTTATGGATGACATAGACTACATTGACTACGAGTTTTACGTCAATCCAGAAGCGGCTCCCGCCGCGGGCTCCTCCACGTACTACGTGATGGCCCGCTACGCTGAAGTGACCGTAGCCCTGGAAGACTACGCAGTGACCCTCTTCGACGAGTTCCACGGCTGGGACGAAGTCGACGAGGTCGCGTTCAATGCTTGGTTCGGTCTTCCAGCGGGGCCACCCGCCGACGACGAGATCTCCGAAGCTGAGACCGTCCCGGCGACCGAGGAAGAGCTCACCGCCGCGCTGGCACCGCAGGTGATTGGCATGCCGTTGCTGCCAGATCTTCCGCGAGCTGGCTCGGAAGCGGGAGACGCTGATGACGAAATGCGGGGCCATCCCGCGTATTCTGACTCCGAAGAGGCCGAAGAGGACTATAAGGACATGCTCCAAGAGCAGGTCGCAGAAGCAATCCGGCTCCTGAGTGCGCCAGCACATCAGCAGATAACCATGAACGACCTGCTGTCGCGCCCAGGGGCCGCACGGCTGCGTCCATACCTGGATTCGGACATGTCGGCACCTCAGATGCTGACAGCACTCCAGGCTCTAGCGGGGTCACCCGCCGAAGTGACGCCAGCCGCAGCAGCGGGGCCACCCGCTTGGTCTATGGATGTATTTATGCAGGGCTGCGACCAGATGGACCTCAACGACCTCACGATGGAGCAGCTAAACGACATCGGGTACTTCCGAAGCCCGTATCAGCACGTATTCATGGTCCAGGACAGCTCAGAGGACTCGGAGGACATGCGCTATGCCAAGAGGGACAGACGACCATCGCCTCCCCGAGACTCAGAGCATGACGATCAAAGGCCCATGGAACGTGGTAGTGCGTCAGCGGGGCCAGCCCGCAGGAGGAGCCGTTCAGCTCCCCGACGCCCTACACATGATGCATCGGGCTACCCGTACAGTACGGAGCACTCCGTTGGTGTATCCGCTCAGTACGTGCCGGAGTGGTACATCAATTGGTACCCCGGCTACTCGATGGACGTGATCCGCCACTGGTATTCTAAGGAATACTGCACCAAAAGGGACGAAACTGGCATGATAATACGTACCAAGGGTGGCAAGACCAAAACGCCAGAGGCTTGGGACAAAAGGGCTAAGAAACAGGAGATCATCAACGATCGCAAGACATACAGAAAACAAGTATGTCAGTGCGAGCCCTTCAAAGGTCACATGCGCAGTTGTCCAATGGACCGCCCCTCCAGGAGTCCTCATCACGGTGAGACCCCGTGGAATTGGTCTCATGGAGATGACGCTGGCAACGTCCATGATCCTAACAAGGAGGTCCCTGGAGGAGGAAAGCGCATCACAGAAGCCGATCGCGTCCCTATGACCGAAGAGGTTGCCAACACTGTCAGGGAAAATTGGGTACAGCTTCCCAATGACCATCGCCTCAAGGAATGGAACCGCCGATTCCATAAAGAGGCGGGGTCACCCGCAGGATCCAGCAAAGAAGCGGGGTCACCCGCAGACGCGGCGCCAGCCGCTGGGTCCGCGGACGAAGATTGGATAGCTGTTGCATCTGCTGCCGGGTCCGCCGCCGGTACTGACCACACCGAACTGAATGAAGAATGGGCGGCGGAAGACGGCTCAGAGAATCCATTCCCTGATGGATGCGCCTGTTGGTACTGCAGCTCCTCGGCGCAGAAGTGGTTTTGCACGAGGGTAATTCACCGCCACGAAAATGGCAAGTACAAGCTGGCCATAAAAGGTACTGCCGACATCGACCAGATGAGGCAGATCATCCATGATCATGGCCAGCCAGAAGGCCCTCCTAAAGACCCTCCTGGTCCACAACCAGGCAAGGGCAGCAGACCACCTCCAAGACCTGAAGCCGACTCCTCGTCTTCACCGACTCCTGCGAAGAGGCGCCCGTCCAAGAGCCCCGAAGGCACACAGGGGCGGGCGAAGGCCAGAGGGATCGCCAAGACGGACGACCCTGAGCTGGGAGATCCTCCCGGTCTGTCCGTGACGGAGAGGAGGAAGGCTTTTGCTGGACCATCGACCCCGATGCCACCGG